CAAGCACCTCTTTTCTTAGTTGTTGTAGGACTGACGCTGGGGAAAACCAAACTCAGAGATGGATCATGCATTAGGAAGGGACACAATTGAAAGGAAACTCAGATGGGCTCTTTCCTTTCGTAGTCGTTGTTTCTTTCTCCTCAAATGGAGCTCCCGGTTGTATCCGCGTGGAGTATCCATTCCACCCGATGACCATGAGCAACACACGGGTAAATATTTACAATCACATGATAGCAAAAAATAATACCCTGATATTCCTGACAACAATGAGTTTTCAAGAAAAACTTAATTTACATTTATTCTGTCCTTAAAAAAAATGGTGCGATAAATATTTGTTCAGAAAGATTTTCAGGCAAACAGTGACTACCATGAAAGCATTTTGGACTTGGAAGTCTGAAATTCCTATCACGTATCACGAGCACCGCAGTTTGTTGATTGTTCACAGAACTGAGTATTGGCGTCATTCTCTATGAATCTTACAAACTAAGAAACTGGGAGATTCTCTGTGTCTTGTGTTTGATGGATCTGACAATCAAAACACAGAGGTAAAATCGTTCTTTGTGATTAGTTTATTTTATGCAATATTTGCATTTCAACTAAGAGCAAGTAGAATGCATTGGTATAATCACCATACATGTACTTCCATTCCCAGGAGTTATGGGATGTGATGTCAGGATTTTCCATGTACTTCTCTAATGAGTGGCTGCCATGTCCGTTGCCAAGGAACAACAGATAATATGTGGCAATAATCTAGATACAGAACCCCATGATAATCTTTCAATATAGTAGTTTTAATGGACACCCCTGGGTGGTGCAAACAGTTAATGTGCTCGGCCTCTAACCAAAAGTTTGGTAGTTCAAGTCCACCCAGAGGTGCCTTGGAAAAAAGGTCTGGTGGTCTACTTCTACAAAATCAACCATGAAAACCCTATGGAGCCATGAGTCGGAATTGAAGTGAGGGCAACTGGCTGTTTGGGTTGTAATGGAGATATACATCAGCAAGCCATCTGCCTCTTAAGGTTTTGTCCTTTAAAAAACTCACTCTACAAAAGTTAGATACTGGGAGATACGTGTTATTTTTCTTTTTAAAATTAAAAAAAATATATAGTTCTGCACTCTTTTGTGTTGAAACATTCTTGAATTATTTTCCACGTGAGCCCCCAGGATCCAGCATTTTACTTTACCTTTGGTGCCCATTTAGAGAGATTGGCAAAAACAGAAGCAACAGGAGTGGGATGGGTGGGGATGGTGTGGATTTCTAGAATTAGGATATATTTTTCTCTGATTGCAGTGTTCCATACTCTGTATTCCTAGGGGACTTAAAGTCCTGGTAAGTTTGAGGTAGGCATTACTCGCTGGATGTTCAGGAGAGCATTATGCCTCCTTCTCCTTATACAAATGTACTTCAAGACTCTATCATATCTTTTAAAACGAGATTGCATGCTTTCACATTCCACATACAAGGGCGTTGCTCTGCCTTGTTATTTTGGGAGAGGATGAATGGGAAGACAGCTCTTTGCTTCACTCCCATAGAAAACCTCTTGATTAAAGGCGATAAAGTTCCAATTTTTATTTTTAGGAACTATTTGAAAATAATTCAATTTGTGGAAAATAGTGTTTTCTAGTGCTTCATTCAGTTCCTCCTAAGGCATGTTTACTTCTGTTTTTCATCTAAAGAAGTTATGAAACAACACTTGATGTAGAACTTACAGAATTATGGAGTCAAGTTAGGTATTATGGATAAAAATGTGTTATCTCTTATCCGAAGAAATCTCTGGCTTCTCAATGGGGAAAAGACTGCATGTAGCCTTTCTTTATTCAAATAAGACTTCTATGGTCAGGGACTCATGAATGAAAATATTTAATGTTTTTATACCCACACTTTTTCACCCACCCAATTTAGTAGAACTTTCCTTGATAAATATACGGAGCACAGAGTTAACACGGTGTGAAGAACAGATCCGTCTTAGGAGACATAAAACCGGAATGCTCCCTAGAAGTGAGGATGGTGAAACTTCAACTTGCTTACTTTGGACATGTCATCAGGAAAGACCAATTCCTAGAAAAAGACATCATGTTTGCTAAAGTAGAGGGTCAGCAAAAATGAGGGAAACCCTCAATGAGACGGATGGACACAGTAGCCTCAACAATGGGCTCAGAATATCAAAAATCATGGAGATGGCGCAGGATCAGGCAATGTTTCACGCTGTTATACACAGGTCGCCATGAGTTGGAGTTGACTGAATGGCAACCAACAACAAGAAAAGTGCCATGACAAGAATACATGAAGTCAAAACGTCTTTATCCAAGATGCTGTTCTTCACAATCTTCACCGCTGTGACAGCTTGCATATATTCAGGATAAATGAGAACATGTACTACAGTACAAGGAGGGTGGGTGCAGTCAGGGAGACGAACAAGTTACTTACTGGTCAATGGTCAGTGAAGGGTTGTTCTTGACAGCGCTTCCTTGAGGCTGCTTAGCAACCCCACCTCCCAGTTATTTGATGAGAGTCTGTCTTCACTGCAAGGTGGTATAAGGAAACCAAGCAGACTTCTTTCCATTTCCTTTTCCTTCCTTGAGGCTTAATAAACTTGAGGGCAAAATTCCTAGAACTCAGAACGTTTGGGAAGAAAATTTGCTGGGACACTCTATGAAGCTCCTGAGGATGGTCTGTTTTATCCTGTTTGTGAGAATCAGTTGTTTCTAGAGCATCTTAGATAAAGAAAGACATTTGAACTTTGTATATGTCTGTAATAGCATCTTTGTTGTTGGCCTTAGTTGCCATCCAGTCAACTCTGACTCATGGCAAACTTGTTTGTGTTTTCAATGCTTCAGTGTGCTTTAATACAATGTGTAAAGCTGAGGTTGGGGCAGAATAACTCTGGAGACTTAGGGGAAGTTGAATTTTACACCCTATACCTTGGAGATTAGCATCTCAACCCTTTCTTGAGCATAGAATCAGGGAGTTATTTTATGGTTTGCTAAGAATCATGGAAACGCTGGTGGCGTAGTGGTTAAGAGCTACAGCTGCTAACCAAAAGGTCAGCAGTTGGAATCCACCAGGTGCTCCTTGGAAACTCTATGGGGCAGTTCTACTCTGTCCTATAGGGTCGCTATGAGTCAAAATCGACTCGACGGCAATGGGTTTGGTTTGGTTTTCTTCGAAGAATCATTCTTAGCCCAGCGAGCACCTCTGCCCTCCATCTTCCTGCCATGCCCCAGGAATAAAGAAGTATTACTGATTCATGGGCTGCTTTTTTTGGCTAAATAATGCTGGAGGAGCAAACTTAGGTGAGAAGCTAACAAAATTGGCTGCAGGCTCTTCTGTATTCCTACCCTTGTGGGACTTTGCTGTCAAAAAATCCACTTAACACACTGCCTTTCTTTCACCTTCCTTTCTTCTCCTCCATCCATTCCCATGAGCACTTCTTCCCTATAAAGGTCAGCATATAAAAGGACTGCATTTAAAATTCATGTTTTTGTCATTTGCACTTTACAAGGTACTCTGTTTTTATGAAGCACCAGTCCATAAAAAAGTTTAGTGCGTGTGCTTGGAAGGTCATCCTTAAGTCTATTCCCCACTGGCAACTGGCTTGGAGTTCTTGCTGTTAGCTGCCCTAGAGGAGGTCCTGACTCATGGCACAATGGAATAGGACCGTTGTGATCCTTAGGGTTTTCATTGGCTGTTCTCTGGAAGCTGATTGCCAGGCCTTTCTTCCCAGTCTATTAGAGTCTGGAAGCTTCACTGAAACCTGTTCAACATCATAGCAACACTCCTGCCTCCACTGACAGACAGGCGGTGGCTGCATTCTGAGGTGCACTGGCCAGGAATCCAACCCACATCTCCTGCGTGGAAGGCGAGAAATTTACCACTGTACCACCACTGTCCCCTGGTTTTGACTCACCGGTGAGAAAGGGACTCCTTCAATGTTCCTAGCTCAAGTGGAGTCTTAGGCTAGATGCAAAAATCGTTTAGCTGGGAAGACTCATTGCCTACATCATCAGGCCAGTTTGTAATAATCCATTTTATAGATAACCAAGGGCATGTTGAAGCCATCATTTCTGAGAATGTACGTATAGTTATTTTGGTAGACAGGTGTTTGTTTACAGAGTCTTGTCACTTTGAAATTAGAGGGGACTATGTCAAGAGAAATGCTTGTAGCCTAATCCCAGGCAATTTTCTAAGACTGTATTTCTCTGAATAATAGAAGCACAGTCAAGTTTACTTAAAGACTGAGTCTACAGCCCAGCAGAAAAGGGAGCTGTATAGATGGTCTTCGGTACTCATCTGCTATATAACAGGGTGAAAATTCTTGGTTTATAGAAACCAAGCACAAACTGTCATTGGCTTTTTTTATTCTGATCCTGATTTGGGCGATGCCGGGGTGATGCAAATAGCTAAGGTACTCAGCTGCTAACCAAAAGGTTGGAGGTTCCAGTCTACCCAAAGGCACCATGGAAGAAAGCCCTGGAGATCTACTTATGAAAAATTAGCCATTGATAACCCTATGGAGCACACAATTCTACTCTGACACACGTAGGGTCATTACAGGTTGGAATCACGACTGGAGGACACTGGTTATCCCAACCGGATTCAATACAAAGGAAGAAGAGCATTTTCCTATTCCATCAAACCCTAGCCCACTTTGAGACTGACTTTATAAATATTGATAGAAAGTGAAAAATAAAATAAACCCTCTGCAACCTTTGAGCCCAAAAGTGACTTAACTAGTATGATTGATAAATTCTCACTGATAACAGATTGACTTGTGTGGGACACAAAGGGGGAGAAGGGTGTTATAATAGCACATTATTGCACACAAAAGCACCCCTTTTTCCCCCAGCATCACCTTGATTTATTTTCCTAGTAACTTTTTTCTCAGACGAAAAAATAATTTTATTAAGAAGACAAATGTTTCTGCCAAAGTTTAAGAATTCCATATTTAATGTTTTTCTTTAAAAAAAAAGTCAACAGTGAATTAGGGCATGCCCCCCCACAGACACATTTTGCTGACTAAAATTAAAAAAAAAAAATCCACTGTCAGAAAACAAGATATTTTCCTCAAATACGATGATTACATTTTATTGCTGCTTTGTTAAGTGTATACTTTTTGCAACTGGGAAAAAAATCTCTAAGTGAAAAGATTACCTAACAAGAGAAGTAGTTTACATGATCATGACATTTAAATTGTTGCCAAAAGAAAAAAAAAAAAATGTAAAAAAAAAAAAAAGATTTTAAATGTAAAATATCACATAATTTCAAAAAACTTACCTTAACATTCTATCACTTAGCAGGTACTATAAGACAACTTTCTAAATAGGATTACCGTCCTTTATTATAAGACCCTAATGGTACTATGGTATACATTTTTTAAAATGCTACTACAGAAATGTTCTTTTCTTTTTGTTTCTGCCTATTATGTACTTAAGCTATAGATAATTCTGGAATAAAAAGCCTATAGTAGGTATAAATGCAATAGTTAAGTGTTCCTGTTTGCTGATGGTCTTTTCATGTCTTTTCCATGGAAGGTGGCGGCTTTTAGTCCAGCATTTTCTCCTGTCTCTTGCCTTCCTTTTTCTTCTTCTTAGATTCTGCTGTGATTGAAAAAGAAGAGAGGAAAAAAAAAAAAGCATCACTTTACTAAGCTATAGAGATGGAGAAAACCACTTTTCCTAGAATCGGTCAGGAATGAAATAATGAGGTGGCTAGACGAAGCAATTGCACTTGGTGGTTTTCTTGGTAAGCTGACAAAAACGTATTTGTGTGTGCATGTGTGTGTGTCCTTGTATGTGTGCTTTCTGTGTGTATGAGAGCCTGCTTTTTCCAGGAGAGCACCTATGATAGAAAGAACACAACCCACCTCTGTATGAATGTCTATAAAAACCCGTTGCAGTCAAGTGGTTCCCCGGTTCATGGCAACCCCATGTGTCAGAGTAGAACTGTGCTCCCTAGGGTTTTCAATGGCTGGTTTTTCAGAAGGGGATTGCCAGGCCTTTCATTTTAGGCACCACTGGGTGGACTCGAACCTCCAATTTCTCAGTTAGTAGCAGAGCGTGCTAACCATTTGTACCACCCAGTGACTGTATGAATGCCTGTAAATGCCCGTTTTTTTATTGGTTGCCCCCACTTGGTGTACACAGTACTGTCTTGGGGTCCCACTACGGAAGAGAAACAGCAGGCATCTCTGAGAGGATGACCAGGCCACAGTGCAATGGAAAGCTACAAGTGCTTTGTGTAGCTCTCGCTTCCCACATTCCCTTTCCAAGGAGCTGATTGTTAGCATTGCTTCTGTGCAAATGATTCCAAAGTGCTTCCTTTCCTGGTCTGCCCTCTGCTTATAAGTTTGGCCTAAAATTCCCTGAAGGATGAGCTACATCTGCAGCTTTGACTAGAGGGACTCCTGGTCTTGGGATGAAGCAAATGGGATGTACCAACACTTTACTCATCCTTAAGATCTTAGCTTCAATTTCACTTCCTTAGGGAAGCCTTCCCAGAACTTCTACATGAAGCAGGTTCCACTCACCATGAGATACTTCCATTGTGCCCATCACTGCTATTATCAAAATCAGAATTATTAATTGCATAGCTAATTATTTAACACGCATTTCCCACTTCCTAAGAGGGTGAAGACCATGTCTGTGTTTTGCATCTGTATCTTCAGTGCTTGGTAGCTGATAGGCTAGGTGCTCCTTAACCTTCTGTTGCATGCAGAGTGAATGAATGAAAGCATGGATGGAAAATAAGGAGAGTGAACTCACTGGTATATAGAAAAATAGCATTTCTTAAGGAAAGCAAGGAGTGTAAATTCTATTAGAATATTGCAACATTTCAATATTTCTTTAAAGATAAACATTTTTTGAAGAAATAAATGAAAAACATGCATAAATAAAATTTACCAATAGTTTCTAGCAATTTTTAAATGGATATCTCTAGTCTTTAAAGTACAGGACGGAATTAAACCTGGAGGAAAAACCAATGCCTCATTTTAATAGTCTTTGAAGGTTGCAGTGAGAGAAATGTTTACCATGAGCATGCTGTTGTTGTGTGCCACCGAGTCAATTTTAACTCACAGTGATCCCATGTGACAGAGCAGAACTGCCCCATGGGTTTTTCTAGACCATGGACAGCCAGAAGAACGAACAAATCTATCTTGGAAGAAGTACAGCCAGAATGCTCCTTAGAAGCAAGGGTGGCGAGACTTCATCTCACATCCTTTGGACATGTTATCAGGAGGGATCAGTCCCTGGAAAAGGACATCGTTCTTGGTAAAATAGAGAGTCAGTGACAAAGAGGAAGACCCTCAACAAGATGAATTGACACAGTGGCTGTTACAATGGGCTCAAACATAGCAACAACCGTGAGGATGGCAGAGGACCGGGCAGTGTTTCGTTCTGTTGTACATAGGGTTGCTATGAGTCAGAACTAACTCTATGGGACCTAACAACCACAACAATCTTCACAGGAGCAGATCACCAGGTCTTTTCTCACGCGGAGCGGCTGGTGGGTTCAAACTACCAACCTTTTGGTTAGCAGCTGAGCACTCAATCCTTGCACCACCAGGGCTCCTTTCACTATGCGCATAAGGGTCATGAATCGGCCTGAAGCGGAGCTCTAAGTGAGTAATGCAAAGTACATTGTAGAGGAGTCAGACCGTAGCTACTCTTAAAGGTTTTAAGAGCTAATATAATCCCACTCTGATGTGAAACAGTTGTTACTGTGTGCCGTCGAGTCCATTCCGACTCATAGCAACCTTATAGGACAGCGTAGAACTGTCCCAAAGGGTTTCCCAGGCTGTAATCTTTATGGGAGCAGACTGTTGGTTTTTCTTCCCTGTGGAGCAGCTGGTAGGTTCCAACAGCTGACCTTTCGTTTAGCACTCAGGGGCTTAAGCACTGCACCACCAGGGCTCTTGTGAAACAGTGCGGCACCTTAGCTCACACTAAAAAGAGCTGGGGCAAGGGAAGGAGGTACACACATGTGGGACATCAAACAACACCCCAGGCTCCATGTCACTCTCCCGCCTGACTGTGGCCGTGCGTGAGTGGGAGGGACGTGAACAGAAGGCAGCCATCATCGAGGTGTGCAAGTGAGGGCACGTGCTGCTCCCCGGATGACCTCCACCAGGACATCACCGCACAGGAAACTCACGATGATGTCCCTGGGACGTCTTGACTTCCTGGGTCTATAACCTTCCATCCTTTCGTTAGTCAGTTTTTGACTCGATGGAGGATAGTATTTGTTAGGGACTAAACTGTGTTCCCCCAAAATATGTGTTCCCCAAAATATGTGTTGGAATCTTAACCCCTATACGTGTGGATGTGAGCCTGTTTGAGAATAGGTTTTCTTTGTGATGTTAATGAGGCCACATCAGTGTACCCGTTGCCATTGCCAGCGAGTTGATTCTGACTCATAGTGACGCTGTAGGACAGAGTAGAACTTCCCCATAGGGTTTGCAAGGAGTGGCTGATGGATTCGAATTGCCAACCTTTTGGTTAGCAGCCTGAGGTCTTAACCACCATGCCACCAAGTCTCCGTTCATAGCGACCCTATCGTGTAGAGTGTGTCCTAAACCTAACCACTTCTGGGTTATGAAAAGACGGATCAGACACGGGAGGAAACATAAACTGGGGAAGATAGATGTCACGTAAAAATCCCCAAGGAACCTAGGAAGGTCAGGGCTGCAAAAGCCGAAAGAGACAAAGATATCTTCCCCCAGAGCCAACAGAGAAAGAGCCGTTGCCTTTAGCCAGTGCCCTGAATTCAGACTTCTAGCCTCCTGAACTGTGAGAAAATAAATTTCTATTCTTTAAAGCCACCCACTTGTATTTCTGATACCACAGCCCTAGGAGACTAAGGCAGTATTCACAGGAAGCAGAATAGAGATGAGAGAGACAGTAGGTATGTAAAACTTTGTACTATTTGGACAGAAACAGGAGGTTGTGTTTAAAATATATTTGAAAGCATACGCAAAGTCCCAGGAGGAGAAAAAAATCAGGCTCCTCATATTGGTGGAATCATGGGCTCTGGAGTGCCATTTTTCCATAGTCTGTCTAGAAAACTCAAAATTTAGCCAAGGAAATTCTGTCAGTGCATAACACTTACTAATAGAAAATAAGAAAGGGGTGAGAAGAGAGGGCAGGAACTAGTCTGAGCCAGGCTACTGCAAAATCCCAGCCCACACAGGTCCAATTCTGACTAGACACATCCTGGTGAGCAGTGAAGGACTCACTGGCACCTCGGCCACTCGGCTCATGAGGAGACACTGGAATTCTGGCAGGATCATTCTGAGCACCCAGTCCTAACAGAGAATTCGTTCTAATCAATCTCTACCTCTCACCAGCTCTGTGATCTTGAGCAAATCAATCGTTCAGCATCTGTTTCTTGTCGAGATAATAAAAACCTACTCTATCTTCCTGGGAAGATCATTGTGAGTGTCATATGAGACAATGACCTCTAAGAGCCCATTTTAGCTCTGGTGGTGGTGTTACCTTTGCTGTTGTTGGATGCCATCATTTTAGCTCTAGTCTTCAAAAATTATTCACTCATTCATTCTATTCCCTCAGCAAATATTCACCCCAGTTCCACTCTATATCAGCACTGTGCAGACTCTACGATATATAACGACAAACAAGACAAAATTCTTCCCGCATAGACCTTAACCAAAAAAAAAAAAAAAAAACCACCGCTGTAGAGTCAATTCTGACTCATGGTGAACCCGTACGTGTCAGAGTAGAACTGTACGCCTTAGGATTTTTAATGCTGATTTTTCAGAGGTAGATCACCAGGCCTTTCTTTTGAGGCACCTCCGGGTGGGTTTGAGCCACCAACCTTTCACTTAGTAGTGACATTTGCGTCACTTTTGGACTCCTTCGTAGAGCTTATGTTCTGTTTTTAATGGTTCCTCTATGTGATGACAGTCTTCTAAAATTGTAAAGTGCTCTAAAAGTATGTATTTATATTAAAGATCATGGGTAGATGGGAGCTATTTTTATAGCTTCAAGACCTATTTATGTTGCTGCTAGTTTACTACTGCCTTCCAGATGCATAAGGTAGCAAGAAATAGTCTATTTATGTATGTGATTTCAAAGACAGAGTGACCACAGGGAGAATGAATTATTACAGAGAAAAGGTATACCTGGAGTGGCTAAGCCTGGAAGAAAGAGAGACTTTCTCCCCTCTGAGTTATTTTGTACTTCTTAAAAAATATTTATTACTCTTCTAAGTTATAAAAATAATGCAAGCTCACACAGAAAATAAACAAGAAAAACATTTACATACACTAACAGAAATTGCCCATAATTCCGTAACATACAGCTCACATCATTAACAGTGGGTTCTATTTATGTTTTCATTCTATGAATATATGTAATATATACCTTAATTAGGAATATACTTATGGACGATAGAGTAGTATTGTTGTCGCTATTGGGGTCTATCAAGTCAATTCGGACTCATAGTGACCACATGTGACAGAGCAGAACTGCCCCATAGAGTTTTCTTAGCTGTAATCTTTAGAGAAGCAGGTCCCCAGGTCTTTCTCCTTTGGAGCTCACTGGGTGGGTTCTAACCACCTATCTTTCGGTTAGCAGCG